AGTATGCGCAAAGTCCCAGGAATCTTTGGATGGACTTCTTGTCGGTGGGCGGTGGAAGCACCGCTACAGCGCGAGTCTTCTCAGGGTTGAGACAAACACGTATGAGTTTGGTGGTCCTGTTGGCCTCAAGAACTGCCCGAAGGCGTCGCAGGTGCGTGTTGAAGTTGGTTTAGAATACCACGACGTCATCGAGGTAAACGATAACTCTGCCATTTGAGGCCTGCCAGTACGGTATCCAAGCCACGCTCTAAAGTTGCTGGCGCCGGGAGCCCGAAGGGCATCGCCTTGAACTCGTACAGTCCATCGGAGTGACGAAGGCAGTCTTCTCTTAGTCTTGTTTGCCGACTTCGATCTGCCAGTAGCCACTCTTCAGGTCCATTGATGAGAAGTATCGGGAGTGGCGCAGCTGGTCCAGTGTTCAGTGTGTCGTCGATGCGAGGGAGCCGATGCACGTCCTTGATCACCGCATTGAGCCGCCAGTAATCTATGCAGTATTGAAGCGTTCCGGAGAGGCCCACGGGCTGCTTGACGGCTGGATGATGTCGTCGTTGAGCATTTCTTGCACTTGTTCATGAATCACGTCCCTTTCTTTTTGGGAGACTCTGTACGGCGTTTGATGCACAGGGAGCGCATCGTCATTGGTAACGATGCAATGCTTCGCAAGTGTTGTTTGAAGCACTTTCGACGTCGCCGGAAAGCAGTCGCTGTATTCGATGAGGAGGTCCCTGAGCTATCGTCATTCCTTGTCGGAGATTGAGGTTAACGTCGAGCTGTGGCGGCGGTGTACTCTACGGCTGAGATGGCGAGGTCTCACTGTCCTTCTTGTTTTCTTCCTTGAGTTAAGTTATCTCATCAGAGAGTGCGGCAATTTCGGCGGTGTTTTGGAGTTCTTCTATGTGGCCTACAGCAGCACCCTTCCTGAGGGGATGTGCCTCCCAGCCAAAGTTTGTCACGAGGGTCACAGTACGTCCAACCTGCAGCTGCGTTACGCCCCTTGCAACACCTATTCCTCTACCTAGAAGCAGTTGGACGTTGCCTTTCAGAGGGACCTTTTTGTAGGCGACTGCATCAGTTACGACGGGCACAAGAGTACTTGACCGCGACGGCAGGTTCGTGTGGTCCGCAATGACTCGGACAGCGGCTGGCATTGTTTTGGATCCCCCCGGAGGTAGGACGGGCTTTTACAGCGTCGACCTGTTTGTCCCAAGGTCAATCACGGCACTGTACTCGCATAGGAATTCCATGCCAAGGATGACATTCTCGCATAGTCCTGAAGGACGACAAACTTTACTGGACAGGTCTTCCCATGAATTTCGACGCGAGGAGTGCACGTCCCAACAGGGGTGATGTGGTGCCCTATGGTGGTGCATATTTGCGGGCCGTCCCAGTCGTAGGGCATTGTGACTTTCCGAAGTCGGTGAGAGAGCTTCCCACTCAAAATGGAGTAATGTGCTATGGTGTCTATGAGTGCCGACGCGTCGTGGCCGTCGATGACAACGTTGAGGTAGTTGGGCACCGTTGTAGAATCGTCGTTCCGATGCTTGTTGTCGCTAGAGTGGGGACCCTCCGATACTCTTAGGGGACGTTTCCGACGCTCGTCTTTGGCAACTCCACCTTCAGGGGTTGCCGCATTTCCCCGACGAGGTAGGGGAGACAGGCTCTCTGCGGGATCTACAGATTGTCTGACGGCGGATGTCGTAGTGACGGCGAACAGGATTCTCGGGGGGAAGCGGGTGCCGGTGACGGCGGGCGATGCATGTACTACTCAATGTCCAGCGGTCGTTGCCCGCTCCTCAGGCGGGGGGCATTTGGTGCGAACCCGTGAAGCGAAAACTGCCGGTAGGAGCATTGCCGACACACGTGGTCGGCTTCCTTGCAGTGGTAGCACAGTGGGCATTGGTCAGCTGTGTGCCACTTGTCCGTCTTCCTTGGCGCCGGCGGTTCGGCTCGGACGTACGGAGCTTGTTTCTCAGTGCGGTGAGCGTAACGCGGCATAGGGGCTTCCTTTCAAGGGGTGCTGTTACTGGCTGGTTGCTGCCAGTGGTCGTCGAGCCATGGCGGCATAGCTCAGGGTCGGTTGCTGGAGCGGAGCAGGGTTGACAGGAGCCCGGGTTTCAATGGCTTTCTGAAGCTCTTCCCGCACAACTTGGGCGATGGGCAGCGGTGCGGGCGGTCGGCAGCAGGCAGCAGTTTCTTCAGTTCTTCGCGAACAACGTCGCAGATGATCTTGCGAAGCTTGTCAACGCAGATGGTGAGCTCGGAGCGGACCGATGCCAGACTTGAGACGTTGTGGAGCCGATGGTAGTGGTGAGCTCGGGCCGCAAGCGCCCGCTTGATGTTTGTTGTTTTGTCAACAAATCCTTTAACATTGACCCTGTAAGTGTGACGTCACTGGTCCAAACGAACCGTTGCTAGGGGTGATACTATAGATGAATGCACTATATAGACGCACAGTTACACATTATTGTGCTCATATATCTTTAAAAGGCATTAACTATTGGCTATGTGTGGCCTCATTGGTCCAAACGAACAGTTGCTGGGGGTGTCGCTATGGATGATTACATGGGGTAGCATTCCACTCCAAAAGAATGACTCTTCAAAAATCCGATGTGGAATTTAAATGTCTAAAAAGTAGACGAAGCCTCAGTCTCACTTAACCCGACAGAAGCTTGTGGAGAATTGGTCGTTTCCGAAATATCTGCGCCCACTGGCCCCGAGTCGTATCGTGGTGCCTGCAGCAGACGATGAACACATGTGCAGTGAATCACATATGCCGTCTGCAGCAGTTTGAATTATTTGCATATTGATACAATTTTCATATTTTATTTATTGGGAACATGACAGGTCTCGGAAAAAGAAAACTTGCATGTATACTAAAAACGTGGTACTGTATCGGCGAGAGAAGCATCTGCTCAGTACATGATATTGGAGCAGTGTCGGGCTTCTTTTGGTTTGGCAGATTGATGTGAATTGCAATGAAATGGCTATTGAATTGACTCGGCCACGATGAGTTCCAGCTTGGAAACAATTTTGTTTCCAACTCACAATGTTGGAGTGTGTTTCGTCTCTGCTCATAACCATCGCGGTAAGAAAGAGAAGGATCCTGCTGATCCTTCCATTCTCAGCAGGACCCCAAATAGCGAAAGAACTGGGTAATTATTTCTATTATGGACAGTTTGTTCATATGACTCAAAGGTGCAGCGAAGCAGCGGCATTCAATGCCATCGTAACTCCTTGAAACGCATGCTAGCTTGCACTTGGACATTGATATACTTAAGCCGTCGTCAAAACTTATTACGGAATTCGGCTTCACGGTGTATTCACCTTCCTTCAAAAACCTAAACCTATTCGCAACTCCAGCGCGCCGCTCGCCCTCAAGCGGACGCATGGAGAACCAGAGGAACGGGGCGGCGGCGCGGAAACGGTGGCAGGGACTGTCTGCCTTGATGCGGGAAGCCGTTTTGACGAAAAAAGTGAGTGCGTTAAAAAAGTAATTCTGATGCTCCGTCTTGCAACAGCTTTGCACGAAGGACCGGGATGTCTAATTTCATTAGTGCTTCTCGTGCATCGCATACGCTGCGGATTTCTGGTCTTGCGCATGGCTGCCAGCTCAATCTGTGCTGAACTTGACGGAAAACGCACCCGGTAAATATTGAAAAACTATAGTACGGACTACGGAAAGTCTATTCTTTGCCATAAGTAGGAGAAAACTCGTCGTGCAACGGTATGTCGAGCAATACAAATCGGGAATGGGTTCGCGTTTTAAGGCCATTACAAGGAACATTACCATTTACTCCAAGCACTTTAAAAAGACAGAATATCCGTACTTGCTTTCAGGTAATTACAAAGCAAATAAAGAAATGCTCGAAGCATTTTAAGCGCGTCTGTGCTAGCCAGCCGTTCGTGACGAGAGCTTAGAACGCGCAGTTTTGGCCAGAAGGACTGGAATGTTGCAAATAACATGGTACAAAAAATGTTCGGTATATTAAAATATTTACTTTTGATAGAGCAATAAATAAAACCCCTAAACACGCCGATTATGTTAATAGGAAGTATTTGCATAGCGTACGACTCCCCTAAACTTCAGTTGGACGTACAGCGCACTGACGTTAAACCGGCGCAGCCAACTTTCACGAGCTGCTTGATAGCCGAGTTAATTAATTTTTTTTAATCAATAATTTTATTTTCCTTTATTTACAAAGGAGGAAGATAGGGCAAAAAGCTGCATGGCTTGCAGGTTGACGAGGCCCTACTCCGTGTAGTAAAGCAGCAGAGACATTTCAAACAGGACAAGCAAAAAACAAAGTACTACACCTTATTGCATGGATTATCTACAAAAAGAGTGTTAACACTGTTTTCCGATAGCATTTCGCGTAGCATACCTTTTGATTTTTTAGTAATGTCAATATTTTCACCTTCGAGCTCCTTAACTCTTTCAGTACCGCGCCATAGAAAATCGGACACGGAGTTACAATGACTTTCAAAGCGTCTGAAAAAATCAAAATTGGCGCGTCAAGACAGACAGCGCCACCTAGTTTGCTCGTAGACATCTACTTTTTCAGTTTCGGTTTTGGTTTTCATCTTCTGACGTGAGACGGCGCTGTTAAAAACGAAACTTAAACCAAAAGTTACCGCGTAGTCGGGAGCCATGGCGTCAAGTTTGCCGCGCGCACCTCAAAAGCGGAAGGCTGTTGCAAGCACTTCGGCCGCTTTTTCTGCCGATTTTTGTGACTCAAGCAGCAGTGATGACTCCAGTAACGATGCAGGGTCGTCAGATTTTAGTTCTGACAGCGACACTCCAGCTCAAGGTCCGGGAACGTCAACAGGAGCTCGCAGGTGTGTTTCGTTTTAGCTTGCACACTGTATTTATACAAACGCGCGCTTTGTATTTGACGACAGCGTTTTTTCTTGCATGTTTAGAGTCTCAACAACGTACGGCAAGGATACTTTTCCGAATGCGTCGCGCCGTATCCAGTTTTCGCCCAAGAGACAGCCCGGTGTCCATGTTGGCGCAGCACTGCGGAGCGACTCACGGCGCTTCTCAAGAGCACTAGATTTTTTTCTTTTGTTTTTCACTTCCGAGGTGGTAAGGACTTTGTGTGAGAACACAAACAAATATGCTTGGATGCACATTTTGGACCGGCAGACATACGCTCGGCGTGACGGCTCCTGGGAGAAGGTCACACCGCTCGAGATGCTGCAATTTATTGGGATTCTCATCTACATGGGAATGGTTGAAGTTCCGCGACTGCACTTATACTGGAAAACAACAGGAATATTCAGAGGCCTTCTACCACCAAATATTATGCCAAGAAAGCGCTTTTCTGCGCTGCTGGCGTTCTTACACGTATCGGACCCGGAGGACTGTGGAGCTGCAGCTTCTGTCGGCAAAACCTGGAAGGTATACTGGCTGTTGAAGCACATCAATGAAAAATCAGCAAGTTTTTTCCAACCACGGCGTGATCTCTCAGTCGATGAACGCATGGTAAAATCTAAAGCCCGATCAGGAATAAGGCAATACATTCGAGACAAAGTGACGAAGTGGGGATACAAACTCTGGGTGGTGGCAGACTCAAGAACAGGCTACACCCTTCAATTTGTTGTGTACACTGGCAAGCGTGAGACACCAGGACCTCATGGTCTAGCTTTTGACGTAGTCACCAAGCTCTGCACAGAGTACCTTGATCAAGGGTACAAGATTTACATGGACAACTTCTATACATCAACGAAACTTTTCGACCACCTCCTTGCGCGCAAGACGTTTGCATGCGGCACATCTCGCAAAGATCGCCGATGTTTTCCAGCTGAATTGAAAGATGCTAAATGGGAAAGAAGAGCTCAGCGGGGAGATGTTAGATGGATTCGTGAAGGGAACATCCTCTACATGCAGTGGAAAGACAGGCGTGCGGTAAACCTGATGAGCACGATGCATACAGCAAACGAGCATGTTTCGGCCCAACGAAGAGAAAAAAGAGGGGACAAGTGGACTTTGAGGACCATCAAAAAGCCGCTTCTAGTCCACGAATACAACGCTGGAATGTTGGGAGTCGACAAGTCGGACCAAATTATTGGAACATACAACGTCCTGAGGAAATGTGTGCGTTGGTGGAAGACGCTATTTTTCCATTGTGTGGACATTGCATGCGTAAATAGTTTTATACTCTTCCAAGAACACCGCAAAGAGAACCCAGACGTCCCAGAACTTTCCAGAAGTGCCTACTTTGACCAGCTGGCATTTAGAGAAGAGCTAATTCAGCAGATCTTTGAGTACGATGGAGCAGCGCAAAGTGGTACCCCCTTCTCACCTCATGTCCCTGCTTGCCACCAACCAAAAAGAATGGAGAGGAGAAGAAACTGCAAGCTCTGCTATCGAAAGACAAAATCCCAATCCAGAACAAACGTCTTCTGCGCCACATGCGAAATTTATCTTTGCTTCCTACCTTCACGTGACTGCTTTTCTGAGTGGCACAGCCTTCGGAACCGCTAACTTTGCTGGCCACGAAAAATACAGAACACGGCGCACAGAACTGGAAGATATTGAAATGATGGCTAGGGCCACTTGCAACATTTTGTATATTTCAGAATTTCGAAAATAATTTTCTGGCTCAGTACAGCCACTGATTTTTGTTTTGTTTGTACTTTTTTTGTCAACTTTTTGTTCATTTGACAAATAAATTCTCTTCACTGTTTGCACTCATAACACTACAGTTTATTTAACTATGATGCCCAGCTAATAACCTACAGTTTGATAAATAGCAAAGCTTAATGCGGCTAGTAGTCGCAGAGAAAAAAAATATTTTCTAGAAGCACTGAAAATCAGTCATTTTTCCGCGGTAACGAAAGAGTTAAAAGTGACGGTAGTGTATGTTTTAAAGAAGGGAGTTGTACAACTTATTAAAATAGCTTAAGTCTAAATGACTGTAAAAAAAAGAGTAATCGTTTTTTTTTGGTTTTATTGCAAAACCTAAGTGTTGTTTTTTTTATTTTTTTCTCTTTGACGCATACTTTAGCTGTTTAATATCTTATATTGCGTCGTCATCAAGCGTCTTGTAAAAGTTGGGGCCGTCAGTTTGACGTCAGTGGGCTTCACGGCGAACTGAAGATTTGGAGTGTCGTATATGTGACGAGGAGTGTAAGGACTACAACATTTTTTTTTAATAATGAGCACGGCAACGCTCCTGGCGCGCACTGAAAATTGTGCTTCGTAGACGCAGCGTCAGCTTGCAGCTGTAATGCTACACCGCACGGTAGCCTGCGGTAACAAACTTTCAATCAATAACCATAGAGCAGTTTGATTACGTGTTGCAATACACCAAAAACCGAGACGGTCAGCTGCGAGTTCTGAGGCAGTGACGCGAAGACACCAATACTGTGAACGCTGCTCTTCCGAAGCTTGACGATCACCGTTCGCGGCTCTTTTTTTTTGAGCACTAATGGCCAGGCAAAGCGCAAACATATCTTCATTACCCTCGAAAATATTCTGCCACAAACAGTAAAGTGGCCGGTGCCCAAAAACGCGCAGGCTCACCACAAAACTTCGCACTTTGAGGTTTCTGCAACTTCTAAATAACAGCATGCTCGTTTTCCTAACGTGCATCAGCATCTCCGTCACCTGTAATATTATCCCTCCCTAACCGCTTCGCATTTGTAGACAAATAAATTATTTTGAGCGCGCTGAACAGCGTCAGCGAACAGGCACACGGGATATCCTGGAGAATCTATCCCCGTCTCTTCCGCCATCTTGGAACTACCGCCCCGCCACCTATAGGGCGTTGGAGTTGCGAATATCCAGCTTGCCTGTTTAGGTGAGCTGGATCTAGGTTTCAAGAGGTCTATTGACACAAAAGTGTGCACCAAGTATAATGCACCACTATGCCTCTGACTTGGCGGTCTAGAAAGACCCAAAGCCTTTCATTGCTTTTTCTTCGTATGGTAAGCCACAAAAACATTTAATGTACGAAGCTACGCAGGGTCAATTTATGTAAACCAAAGTTTTTCAAAATGAAGAATAAAATGGCATACTGTCGAACAAGTTGACAACATTGGTGTTTTAACCTAGCAAGCTGATGTTTTTGTCAAAGGTGCACTAAGATAGGCAAAGGTCAAAGCATATTTCTATAACGTAACAAACAAAACGTAATGATAAAAACTTGTAAAAATATGAATGGAGGCTCGGACGCCGATGGCTCGGACGGCTTCTTTCAAGAAAGTGTGTCGTCTGTTAAAAACTGCAAAAGCACAGATATTGGTAGCAACATCTCCTTGCAGATGGCTTCATCTTTCCTATCTTACTTGAATGAAAACTTGCAAAAACAGGTTACTTTTTCTCCATGAATTTGGCTGTAATGTGTGTTCCACTAATTGTCATCCTTTACTGGTTACAAAACTTTTCTGTAACGCTATGGGAGGGCTTGATTTGCGTGCACCAATCTCACTGCTAGAGGTGAGGTCTAGCAACCAGAAAGTGTGGTAGAATTTTGAACCCGAGTGAGCCACTCGTAGGTAGAGCTGACTTGTCATTGCATTGACATAGTTTCTCGGAAAGCGTTTTGGCTCTGTATATACACTCAATCAACTGCCCAAAGTTGAGTATCTGCAATGATCTCCAAAAAATAATAATATTTTATTTTCCTAAGAGGACTTTTTAATCAGAATTCAAGAGCAGCGATGTCAAGTAGAGGCACTGCTAATCTCTACACTCAATTGCCGAGCTCTTTTTTGCTCGCAAAACTCATTTTCTTTGAAAACAAACAAGAAATGAGTCAAGTCCAGTTTGTTGTGATTATGAATACTTAAAATAAAATTAAAACCCAGAGGACTCGCTGACAACCACGCTCCTTCATTTCGCAATGACGAATGTATATTTCCGGGTGTCGCAGGTTGTCCAGAACGAGAGAGGGCTGAAGGAGAGGAGGCTACAATCGGGAGCACTGGTAAGTACGGAGTCACCGCCCATGTTTAAAATTTTTCTTTTTCCAGTTCTGGCCAGGAAAATTTTATTTTACGTCTTTTCAGGGCTAATGATGCGGATGAGACCTTCTTTTTATCTTTTTGGAGGAAGAATGTTTGAATGATTTCATGTCTGAATCAAATGATGATGCGTTCCCAGGATCTTGGGTCTGCCGAAGTTGGGTGCGCACCCAAAACACTTGTTGGCATGAGCCGCAATATGATGTGTGGGATGCTTTCAATGTTGCCTCATTTTGATGCTCTGGTAGACGGTCGTTTGTGCGTCGGCTTGTTTGCCCAATCCATTCAGCTCCGCATTAGAGGGGTACCGAATACACCTTCTCTGAAGTGGGTGTTTTTTCTCGCCGGGCGGCTTAGTCTCCTGCCGGTTGATCACAGGCTCGCCAGTTTGAGTCTACTGGAGAAGACCACTTTTGTGTTAAAGTGGGTAGCGATTGATCGGATACCTTGTGAAAGTAGGGGATGCTGGTGATCCTTTGTCGTGCAAGTGGCGAGTTTCTGGTAGTTCTTGGTGTGACGAGTTGGTGAAAACAGGAGGCGATCCGTTTCACTAAATATCCTGAGCTCAGAAGTTTGGGTGTTTATGGTTTCGGTTGCTGAATGTGGACATGATTTAGTTTTTGCCGAGATGAGTAGGGCCTTAAAGGGACACTGACAGGGTATTTATGCTCGCCGAGGTTTTTAGTTGTACGTAACATATGAGAGCCCAACTACCCAGGACAGAATTTTCGGCTCGAAATTCGGTTTCTTTCCGCCCGAAAACCGCCGATCGAGAACTGGCCGGTTTGAGTCGCGCTCACTCTCTTTTGTGTGGTCACGGGTCGTTTTCTTAGGTTTCGATGCGACAACCAAATTTAATCAAAATCGTCGGTCATTGAAGCCACACAGTCAATAATAAAAATAGAAAAAAAACATGAAACCCATTTTTTGTGGCTTCCAGAAAGCTGCAAATATGTTGATTTAAAAAAAAAAAGGTAGCACAGACCACCGGAAGCATTCTGTGCGTTCACTGCATAATTCTCAACATGGCGTTGTTTCGCGTATCGTGGGACTAGCGGATGGCAGCAGACAACGGGCGTTGCACCTCTACTTCAGAACTGTCGTTCACGGTACCGGCAAATTCTGTCTTGTTTCGAAAGCAAAATTTTGGACCGATCAAAAGAACCGATATTCATCTCGTATGACACGCCCGACCAGCAAGCCGATTGCACGAAGACGTCGGCGAGCCGTCGTTGTCGTCCCTTCTTGTGGCTGAAGACATCGCTCGCTCAAACGTCAAGCACGGAGTGCGTACTTTGAGTTGAATACGCACGCGTATGTTTCTTTACGAGGTGCGAATGTGGCCTGCCCGACTTCAAGCCGGGAGTGCATGTATTGAAGGGAAATCGGCATCAAACTTCCAACATTAAGCCTACCGGCTCTATTTATACGCATGAAAGAGTTCCTTCAGTAGCTCAGGGGAAAGACGTCCGACTCACATGCAGCGGGCACGGGTTCGATCCCTGATGTAGGCTTACCTTTTTTTTGTTGAGCATTTTGCAATGTTTACATTTCTTTTTTAACAATTATCACTGAAAAAAAAGTGAAAGCCGTTTACAACTCCCTGTAACACCGAATTAGAGCGCAGCTCTTGAGGAGGAGGAGGGAAGGGTACTGGGGGGTGAAGTGACCTGGGGGGGGGGGGGGTCACGTGACCTTGGGGAGTCACGTGACCATGCCGATGATGTCATCAGTGACGTCACTGATGACGTCATCAGTGACGATGACGATGCGGACTCCGATGACGTCATCAGCGATGATGACGATGCGGATGTCGGTGACGTCATCAGTGACGTCACTGATGACGTCATCTGTGATGATGACGATGACGATGCGGATGCCCCCCCGAAGTCACGTGACCCCCGTCGAGGTCACGTGACCTCCCCGATGACGTCATCGTCACTGATGACGTCACCGGCATCCGCATCGTCATCGTCATCATCACTGATGACGTCATCAGTGACGTCACTGATGACCTCACCGGCATCCGCATCGTCATTGTCATCATCACTGATGATGTCATCAGTGACGTCACTGATGACGTCACCGGCATCCGCATCGTCATCGTCATCATCACTGATGACGTCATCAGTGACGTCACCGGCATCCGCATCGTCATCGTCATCATCACTGATGACGTCATCAGTGACGTCACTGATGACGTCATCAGTGATGATGATGACGATGCCGGTGACGTCATCGATGACGTCATCGGGGAGGTCACGTGACCTCGGCGGGGGTCACGTGACCTGGGGGGTGTCACGTGACTTCGGGGGGGTCACGTGACCTTGGGGGGGAGGGGGGGTCACGTGACCTCGGGGGGTCACGTGACCTCAGGGGGGTCACGTGACTTTGGGTGTCACGTGACCTTGGGGTGATCTTGGGGGTCACATGACCTTGGGATGACCTTGGGGGGCCACGTGACCTTGGGATGACCTTGGTTACGCCGACACCGACGCCGCTCAAGCCGGGAACGGGCCCCTAAGAGCTGCGCTCTAAAACAAAGAAACAATTCTTGTGGACGATACGTCGCTGAACTAAATGGTATGGGATTCCATTTTTGACACCTGCGAACTCAATGTAGTCACTTTCCACAAAAAGCAAGGAGCAAATAAATCGGGTAGCGTCCGCTTTCCGAGGTACCCGTAAATGTTCTACAGGAATTGCAGCCAGCCATTGATCCCGACCCGTTGATCTTTCCGAAACTTGTGCAAACTCTGCTGTGAGGCAGCTCTTCTTGCAACACCTTGGGGGTATTCTTTTCGGAGCCGATCACGAGAATTCACCACGGCACTCGGGCACTCACTATTAATTGCCAACACTTAAATGTTTAGAGCAACTCATCTTGAAGTACAGAACAGCGAGCGGAACAAACATAACTGCTAAGGAATTGCACGGCAAACAAATGCAATTCGTCTGCTACCTGCGGAGAAAAAAAAAAAAAAACCCGCACGGTCGGGTGTAGCCACGTGACTTCTGCCACTCGCTCTATCCTCTCCTCTTCTATGTGCGGTGCGGGAGTTTCGGTTTCGGGCAGTTGCGTTTTTTGGCTTTATTAAAAAAATACGTGACTCTGTAGCAAAATATTAATTGGGTAGTATTCCGACCTCATAATGAATCGCCTGACAAAAAAGGGAAAAAAACGATGAGATAGTGGTCTGTTGAATAATTATTGCAAAAAGAAGAAGAAGATGTAACGAGAAACAAAAGATATATATAGACGACGACGACGACGAGAACGGAGGAATCGATGGTGACTCCGTCAGCAACTGGAACGAACATGTAAATATTGTACATAAACCCTTCCTTCTTAGACGAACTCGCTACATTTAATCCTCTTAACAAAGAAACGTAACATAAAATTGGTGCCGAAACCCGGGAGTAGCTGAGTCAAGGAAAGGCAAAAAAAAAAAAAAAAAAATACTTGGAACATCCATCGTAAAACCGAACGATCACCCGAGTGGACTTACCTCAACGAAAATGGATCAACTAACGCCAGCCGCCATCGAACAACTTAAAAGAAGAAGAACCGTGATTCGATCGGCGACCACCAGGATCATTTCCGAAATCGTCACTCTTCTAGGCATGGAACCAACGTCCATAGTGGAGTTGGAAGAAAGGCTTAACATCTTGACACTCAAAGAATCTGCGTTAAAAGAAATCGACGATCAGATTGAGAGAGCCATCATCGATGACACGCTGGAACAGGAGATGGTAAACGCAGAAGGCTACGCCGAAAGAATTAGCTCAACGAAAACAAAAGTCCTACGGAAACTAAAAGAGCATGAACAAATGACTAATATGACGTTGGACACCTCAATGCCAGGCGCAAGTTCAAGACCACCACGGCCCATCGGTCAAGAACACGCAACGGTCAAACTTCCAAAGCTGGAAATTGCAAAATTTACGGGTGACATACGGTCATGGCAAGGTTTCTGGGACCAGTTTGACGCTACAATCAACCAAAACGTCTCTCTGTCTGAAATTGACAAGTTTAAATACCTGAAAAGTTACCTTACAGCTAAAGCTGCTACAGCAATTGAGGGGTTACAACTGACAGTTGAAAACTACACCGTTGCACTGGACCTCCTGAAAACAAAGATTCGGGAAAAAAGGGCTCATCATAGAAGAACACATGTCACGATTACTGGCAGTGAGAACAGTCAGTAACTCTCACAACGTGGAGAAGCTCAGGTTGTTGTATGACGAAGTTGAGACAGGAGTCCGAAGCCTTGAGGAGCCTGGTGTCTCTTCAAACACCTACGGGACACTCCTACTAACAGTCCTGCGAAAGGCTGTGCCATCAGACCTCGAACTAGAATATCATCGAAAAACAACACCGGAAGAGACAAACGAAGGCAACGAACTAAAACAGTTTTTGAACTTCTTCAAAAGCGAAATTGAAAGTTGAGAGCGGACTCAGCATGGAAACCAAAGAGTCCAACCAACTGCCAGTATGGCCAGTTCTTCAACTGGGAGGAACGAACGACCTAGACGATATCCACCTTCGACAGCTATGTTCGCGACAGGAACGAACACCAACGAAAACCAGTGCCTGTTCTGCGGATCAGCTGACCATATAACTGCCAACTGTTCGGTGCGCATGCCCCTGGACCGAAAAAAAGAAGTCCTGAAAGGGAACAATCGTTGCTTTTGATGCACTAAACCTAACCATTGTGCGAAGAATTGCAAAAGTGCAAGGTGGCTAAAGTGTGATAATTGTTCCAGAAGGCATGCAACAACGATGTGCGACCCGAATTACAATGCATTGGAAAAGCAAACTCTGAACAAGCCCTTAATAAGAAGTAACAAAGCAGTCCCTACCGGAAATGTGCTCCAGTCCTCTCTAAAGGCAACTGATAAGGAAAACAGAGGGCCTTGCTAAGTGCTTCTACAAACAGCAGAAGCGTGGACCGAAGGAGAA